ATTGCTCCACGAGGAAGGACACGAAGTTCATATGACATGCGTTCTGCATACTGCTAGGATCAGCAATATCGATAGCGTAATGTTTGTAGATAGAAATAAGAGAGATGGTTAGTTTTGAGCTCGGTAAAGACCGTGGACTCTCTGTGGCTCAGAGGTAGAGCATCAGAGCGCGGAATCCGAAGGTCTGAGGTTCCATTCCTCATGGGGACTCAGATTCTATTCTTTATCTCACGCTCGTGACCAGACGAAAAAAACATCTTTTTCTATTTCTTTACCGAGCTCAAAACTTATCATCTCTCCTATTTCTATCTACAAACATTACGCTATCGACGTTGCAGATCCTAGCAGTATGCAGGACGCGTCTTATATGAACTTCGTAGTAGACCTCACGCATTGTGGAGTCTCTGTGGCTCAGTGGTAGAGCATCAGAGCGCGGAATCCGAAGGTCTAAGGTAAGATTTCTCATGGGGACTCAGAATTTTTCCTTTGTCCCTCGTTCGTGACAAGACGAAGAAAATATCTTTCTCTATTTCTTTACCGAGCTCAAAACTTGTCATCTCTCTTATTTCAATATTTTTAGCATCTTATTACAGCTAAATCACCAGTATAACCTATTGTCTGTAGTTTAAAACTTTTTGTTACAAAAGTAACAACATTATTGCCAACAGACCCGTTATACGAAATTGCAGTTGCATTTATAGCCTATTTTTTAACACAGAGAAATTCGTCTATCGAATAATGAACGTTAAATAATCATTTGTGTCATGATACTGAGTCATTTCTCAATTCTTGATCGCGATGTTTCGACTGCCTCACTGCTGGTCATTTTTAATACTCCGTTCAACAAGTGATAGTGACTACAAGGTCAGTTATCTAATTAATCACCTTGAACAATAATCTTTAAATTGTCATTCATAAAAATGGAATTTATTTCATGACAAGCGAAACGTAACAGGAGGAACCTGTCAGAGCTTTGTGCCACTGACATGTTCCTTGGTCTACTTTTTAGTTGAACGGTAAAGTCTAAGACCTCCTCTAACTTCCCAATCAGTACCAGTTAACATTTGAGACAAATATTTTCTGCCTTTATTAGTTACATTCCGATTTCCGTGGTAGTCTAAGCTCCGTAGTTTGCAGTTGGTATCAGTCAAGGCCTTACACAGGTGCTTGATTCCTTCATCTCCAAATTCATTGTTGCTTATGTCTAAACTTGTTAATGTACAGAATCCGTTGGTTAAAACCTCAGACAATTCTTTGATTCCTCCATCTCCTAATCTAATAAGACCGATTTTCAATTTGGTTAACACACAATTACTGCTGGTAAGTGCATCGCACAAGTGTTTAAATCCGTTGTCTTCCCACCGAATGTGACTGGCGTTTAAGCTTGTTAACCTGCAGTTAACGCTTGTTAGCGCGTTACACAAGTGCATGATTCCTTCGTCTCCTAACCAATTGTTACTGACGTTTAAGCTGGTTAATGTACAGTTAACGCTTGTTAGCGCGTTACACAAGTGCATGATTCCTTCGTCTCTTAACCAATTGTTACTGACGTTTAAGCTGGTTAATGTACAGTTAACGCTGGTTAGCGCGTTACACAAGTGCACGATTCCTTCGTCTCCTAACCAATTGTTACTGACGTTTAAGCTGGTTAATGTACAGTCAATGCTGGTTAGTGCGTTACCCAAGTATACGATTCCTTCGTCTCCCCAACTAGTCTCCCTGACGTTTAAGGTGGTTAATCCGCAGTTAACGCTGGTTAGCGCGTTACTCAAGAGCACGATAACCTATTGTGACTGACGTTTAAGGTGGTTAATCTGCAGTTAACGCTGGCTAGCGCGTCACGCAAGTGCATGATTCCTTCGTCTCTTAACATATTGTGACTGACGTTTAAGCTGGTTAAATGGCAGTTAACGCTGGTTAGCGCGTTACTCAAGAGCACGATTCCTTCGTCTCCTAACCTATTGTGACTGACGTTTAAGGTGGTTAATCTGCAGTTAACGCTGGCTAGCGCGTCACGCAAGTGCATGATTCCTCTCGTCTCCTAACAGTTACGCTGGCTAGCGCGTGCAACTGACGTTTAAGCTGACGTTTAAGCTGGTTAAATGGCAGTCACTAATGATCAGCGCTTCACACAGGTGTTTTAATCCTTGATTTTGTAAACCAATGCCATACAGTGTCAAGCTGTAAAGTTCACTCTGAGGAAGCGCTGTACTCAAGTTCTTCAAACCTTCATCAGATATCCGACTCCTTGAGAGAATTAATCTGGTTACTTTCCAATCCCTGTTGGTGATCGCTTTACACAGTGTTATCAAATCAGGGTCGTACTCTGTTGGCCACCCATACAATATGCCTGAAATTGAACTGTATATCACTTCATTAGACACCTCCTCGTCCTCGTCCTCGTCCTCGTCCTCGTTATAAATTACACGAAAGCAGTACCATGGTTGTTTAGATATAGAGAGCTCATCCGTAAACAGCAGCACCACTTGCCATGCACCTTCTCTGATGTGAATAGTAAGGAATGCTTTCAATTCGTCTTTATCCATTGCTACACGTAATTCCTCCAAGGCACGAGGTGATTGGAGTACTAAAGGATTAAAACAAAAGAATAGTAATTTTTTTTACTTGAAAACATTACAGCGAAAAAACCTAACTTTACATTGTTTTTGTCTAAAAACTGACAAACCACAGAAAATACCTCGGCAAATTGGACACAAAAATAATTTCGAGTCTCCACGTTTCGACTTATTGTTGAATCATCCCAAGTCAAAGGAAACCAGTTGGGAAAACAAGGAGACGGACAGTATGAACAATAAAATGTCGTGCGATACCAAAAACATTAAGCCAAACCTTTTTTCTTCTTCTTTTCCAAGTCTTAAAATGTCAGCAAATCATTTGAGAAGTTGTAAATCATTGTCATAAGGTTTTATTCCAATATTATCTTTTCCCTCACTAGTAATCTAAAACTCTGCAGTCGAAAATGCCTGCGAGAGAAGTTGCTGGTGTTGTTTTTTTCCAAATCTGGTTTTAAAGTTTCAGAACATTTTCAAGAACACGAGAAAAAAATTGTTTTCGCTTTGCAAACATAACAACGAAGTATTCGTGTTGATAAATTGAAAGAGACGTCTTTTTCTTGAGAATACGATCATAAAGTACTTAGGTTACACCACATAAGCGACCAGTCTTAACATCAGAATTCTATGCACTTATGGACTGAGTAGAAGGCTCATGTGGGTCCAGCTTGATCTTACTCAGTCAATCAGATTTTTATTTCATGAACGCCGCTCTTCTCATTTTACTTCCTTCTCACGTGGACGCACGCTTGGCCTTGCAGCTTTTCATGCCCCTGCCAGTGCAACCGCGCACGGCCTTCATAAAAGGGTTCATTTATAAATCTTTTTTTTTTCCTTATTAGGAACGGGCATTAGACCGCGCAGGTCATTTGATGATTATATAAAGGTACCAGGTCTACAGAGAATGAAAAAACCCCAACACAAGATCACAAATCTGGGTTAAAAGAAAATTCCTTGACCATTACACAAACCTAGCATTTCTCAATAGTCTTACCACCGAATATAGATAACTGGACATATGTTTCAAAGCCAATACAAGCTTATTTTAACAATGTTAAGTACCTTGCTTGCGGAAGTGAAGTTTGGCTGACTCATTTAATAAGTAGCTGACATAGTTCTGGAGTTCCTCGGGTAAACTGACATCAAACTTCGCCAGTCCTGATCTAATGGTCGGATACATGGCGTTCTCTAATGCTATCATGAAGGACACAAAAAGACACAAACTATTTTAGTACTTAAGGTCACATTCTCAGTTCAGAGAAATTATTAAAATGAGGAACTACTTAAAAGACAACGTAAGAGTCAATGTTGTCATTAACTGTGAAAGATCACAGACAAGCTTGGGGTCAAATTTAAATTTGTCATTTAAAGATACCACCAACACGTTTTGTCGATCGTTTCCGACATGGAACATTCATGCAAAAGTTCTTTAATGCACGAGCTACACGAGGGTCTCAATGGGGCGATGGCTTTTATGGCTAACGGTTAAAATTTTGGCCATGTTAGGGCTAACTTTTTCTTGTTAAGGAGTTAAAAAGAAACATTTCTTTGGTTAACTCTTTGTAATCTAACGTTATAGTTGAGGGAAAGGAGAGTTTGTCGAAAATTATCGCCCCGTGTCGTTACTTCCAGTGATCCCTAAAGTTCAGGAGCGGTGTGTGGCCTCGCGCCTTGTCTCTCACGTTGAGAAGATCTTGTATCCTTTTCAACATGGTTTTCAAAAGGTCAAGTCTTGCGTTACTCGGCTTATTGAAGTATTCTATGATATTGGTCATGCACTGGACCGCGGGCTAGAATCAGACATAATTAACTTGGACTTTGCCAAGGCTTTCGATTCTGTGTGCCCGGCAAAGCTCGTGTTGAAGCTAAAAACGTTTGGAATCGATGATCCCCTACTCGCCTGGTTTTACTCATACCTAACTGGAAGGCGTCAAAGAGTGGTTATAAATGGAACTTTCAGTAATTGGACTGGCGTTGGGTCAGGTGTACCCCAGGAGTCACTTCAAGGACCGATTCTCTTTTTATTATTTGTAAATGACATGCCAAATGTAATTAATAGTGCGACGCTGGCTATGTTTGCTGACGATTCTAAATGTTATAGGATCATAAATAATGATGCTGATTTTTCGAAATGGCAGTAGGATTTAGTTTCACTTACAACTTGGTCCTTGTCAAATGAATTGTATTTTCAGCCTACAAAGTGCAGTAATCTGCGTATATCTAGGAAGCGTATTAGTTCATATCGTAGCTATAGTATAAATGGTATAGATGTGGAGGTTGTCTCTACTGAAAAAGATTTGGGGGTAGTGCTCGTAAATGACACCTCTCGGAAGGATCATATACTCATGATAGTTGCTAAAGCAAATAGGTTACTGGGCTTTATTAGAAGGAGCTGCGCAGGAATTGTTGGCAGTGTTCCGCCGTTGC